GGGGGGTGGGGGAGGTGGGGGGGTGGGCAGTGAGCATGAAGGCGAGAAAAAGGAGAAACAAGGCCCCTATCAGTGAGCGGTTGGCAGACTTGCTCCAGACTAGACAGCTCACAGGTGATATTTTTCTTTTTTTTCTTTTTTCTTTTCTTTTTCTTTTTTTTTGAGAGGTTTTCATTATAGGGCACGTGTGCTCGCCAGACAGACAGAGAGAGACACAGAGACAGAAAGCGAGAAATCACCCCCCAGGGAGGATGGTCACACCGCAGTCCCTTCTCCTCCATTCTCCTCTCGGGATCTTGGGCACGCACGCACACGCGCTCGGCGTGAGTTTTAAGCCACCAGGTTCAGAATGTGAACCGCAGTCGACTACGTGGGAGTTCAGCGACATAGCCATTACACTAACTGCTGGTTCCCAGATATTTTTCTTCTTTTACTTTTCACCATGCTTCAGACTTTCTACCTCAAACATTTAGTACTTTATGCCAGAAAATAATAAAATAATTCACATATATATTTTTTAAAGACATGGCAGTAGAAGAGGTAGCCATAGCACATTCCCATCTGGGAAGGGACAACACAACCAGACAAAAAACAAAACAAAGAAATAGAAGGGGGTTATGCCATGAGGACTGAAACTGCCAAATACCTCTCTCATATCTTGGTACACCTCAGAACCATCTCTGAGACCCTACCAGGCACTGTACCCAGTGCCCTTCCCTAAAATAATTCAACAAGGAAGTAGAGAACATTACTGGCAATGTGTCCTGATTTGAGAGACTGCTGAATGTATAAGAGGGCCTTGGAAGAGATGAGGTCACCAAAAGAAACCAAATGCTGAGCAAGACCCTTCAGAGCCACTGTGGTGAACATGTGTAAATGAGAAAACAGATCTTGGGTGGATATTTTCTAACCTGATTTATGTACAACATCATAAACACTCTGTTTTCTTTCTTTTTTAGGCTAATAGTAGCTAAAACTATTATATGCTAAGTTTTTTTTCTATGCCTTTTCATCTATCCTTCATGAAAAAAATCATAATATGGATACACATACTATCTCCACATCTTGAAAGCTGTCAGAATGAAAATGGAATACCTTGTATCAACTAGTGTCTAAATCTTACCATACATTCATACATATATACATACATACATGCAATATATTCTGGGTTGTCAGAAAAGTAATGACACATTTTTGCACAGAAAAATACATTGTGACATTTCCGAGAACCCAATACATATATAATTGGAGCCATGGAAGGCCTTGAATATGTGTGTCTGATAACTAAAATTATCACAAGAACTCTGCCAGAACCACAGCTTTGCACCTATTGCAACCTTACACAAAAATACTTCCACAAGGACATCTTGGATGGCCACCATTCTAATTATTAATCCTTGTAGTCAAGATTATTGTGTCAAAACAATGTATGTAATCCTTTTCTTTTTTTACCTCAAAAAATTTCCCTTTGCTGGGACCAGCAGTTGGTGGAATGGCTATGTCGCTGGACTCCCATGTAGTCGACTGCAGTTCACATCCCGGACCTGGTAGCTTAAATTCATGCCAGGCGCATGTGCGTCCATGCCCAAGATCCCAATAAGAGAATGGAAAAGAAGGGATTGCAGCGTGGCCATTCCCCCGGGGGGTGATTTCTCGCTTTCTGTCTCTGTCTCTGTCTTTCTGGTGAGTGCACATGCCCTATAGCAAAAACCTCTCAAAAAAAAATTTTTCCCTTTGCAAGGCTGGTGTGGTGCAGAGGTACTACTCTGCTTAATTGGAACTGGATCTATACGCTAATGACAGATTCAGTTCCTTGATGGGCCTGTACACACCAGGTATGCATACCCATGAACCTGACTGGGGAGGCTAGGAGGAGGGGGTATCACAGCATGAGACCTTGTTGGGAAGTGCTTGCATATGTGTGTGTGTGTGTGTGTGTGTGTCTCATGAAATAAATAAAAATAAATTCTAATTTTTTCTTTGCCTTTACCTTGTTGGATATGCAAATGTCTCTACAGCTCATGTCTTCTGGACTTGCAAATCCCTGCACATTCCCAAACAAACTTGCAATTTTCATTAACTCTTCCTCTGCCAGTTACTTAAAGGTTGGTATGTATATTTGAGTAAACTGACATCAGAAAAGTGAAATTACCTGCCCAATGTTGTGCAGCTTGGAGACTGCAGAGCTGGTATCTGAGTGCAGGGCATCTGGCTTCAGAACCTGCCCTTCAAGTTGTTGGTTTTGCTCTAAAGTTGACTAACTACTCTCCCATCACTGACTTCCCCAAGGACCCTCTTTTCCAAACATGGTAAAATGGGAGCAACAAGTGTACCACTAGGATCCACCTATTGGGTCGTTGGAAAAGTCATGATGCATTTTTGGGTAGAAAAACAGAAAAGTACACCATGACTTTTCCTATGATCCAATCAATATTCGCTACCCATTTCTTAGCAGAGAACAAACAAAAAACACAAAACAAAGAGAGAAGGTGTAAGTAGGAACATCATATAGGGATCAAGGAAGATAAGCAATGATGCATATAACCTGACCACACAGCCCAAGAGACACAGGGCTTCACCCAGGACATCCCATATTTCAAATATCCAAGAGATCCAGGGGGTTAAGAAGGAGAGATAAGGAGTGATGCCAACACACAAGCTCTACCACTCATGAGCTGAGCAGTAAAAGTATACAAGGAAAGGGACTAAGAACAAAAATAAACCTTGAGAAGCCAAGGGGAAAACTTGCAAGAAAAGAAACAATACCATTTGCAGATTTCAACATGGCATTAGAATAAAGAGTAGAATCAACACTGTAGAGATTGGTGACCTGGAGGGCACACTTGAGAAAATAACCTGGATAGCAAAGAAAGTAAAGATCAAATTAGGGACACACAAAGTGATAAAGAAAACCAACAACAGACAACTAACAACCACTTAAGTAACTGGGACTCCTAAAGGAGAGAGTCAAATGAATGAAATGCAAATCATATCCCAAGATAAATTGGGACACTTTCCTGGACTAATCCAAGACCTGAATCTTCAGACTGAAATTGTTTACCATCTACTTGATAAAATTTATGAAAACTGAAACATTTGAGGTTTATAAAAGCAGTGACTATTAAGGATAAAGAAATACATAAAAGTCTAGGCAGAAAAAAGTACAAAAAAATTAAATCCATCTTGTATAAAACTCTTAAGCTGCAATTGTTTCCAAATTGAAGAG